GATTTTATTTTTTATTTATTCACAAGAGACAGAGAGAGAGAGAGAGAGAGAGAACGAGGCAGAGACACAGGCAGAGGGAGAAGCAGGCTCCATGCAGGGAGCCCGACGTGGGGCTCGATCCCGGGTCTCAAGGATCAGGCCCTGGGCTAAAGGCGGCGCTAAACCACTGAGCCACCCGGGCTGCCCCAGTTCTGTTTTTCAAACTGAGAAAGGTGAAACTCGTTAGCTGAGGCCTCAAAAAATTGGATAAAAACTCATAACTGTTCCTCTCCACGGAAATCTTTAGTAAAAAGCGAAAGATTTATGCGATCTGAAGAGAAACAAGTATCAACACAATTTTTCAAACAGCATTTGCTTACTTCTTGTCTGTGTGTCACATTTTAGTAATTCTCATAATACTTCAAACTTTTTTGTTATTTAATTCTTTAAAAAAGATTTTATTTATTTGAGAGAGAGAAGAGCACAAGTGGGGAAGGAGCGGAGCGAGGGAGAGAGAGAAGCAGACACCCTGCCCAACAGGGAACCCAATTAAGGGCTCTGTCCCAGGACCCTGAGATCATGACTTGAGCTGATAGCAGGTGCTTAACCAACTGAGCCACCCAGGTGCCCCACTTTTTCATTATTTATCGTGGTGATCTGTGATCAGTGATCTTTGATGTTACTATTGCAATTGTTTTGGGGGTGCTGTGAACTACGTTCCTATAAGGTGAACTTAAATGTCGTATATGTTCTAAGTGCTCCACTGGCTGGCCATCTCCCCATCTCTCTCCCTCTCCCTCTCCCTGGGATTCCCTATTCCCTGAGATGCAACAATATTGAAACTAGGCCAATTAACAACCCTACAGTGGCCTCTAAGGGTTCAAGTAAAAGGAAGAGTAGCACATCTCTCACTTTAAATCTGAAGCTAGAAATGATTAAGCTTAGTGAGGAAAGGATGTCAGAAGTTGAGATAGTCCAAAAGCTAGGCTTCTTGCACCAAACAGCTAAATTGTGACTACAAAAGAAAAGTTTTTGAAGGAAATTCAAAGTGCCACTCCAGTGAATGTACAAATGATAAGAAAATGAAACAGCCTCATTGCTGATATGGAGAAAGACCATCCAGATATGGTCCGGATGGAGGATCGAACCAGGAATGACGCCATTCCCTTAAGCCAAAGCCTAATCCAGAGCATGGTCCTAATCCCCTTTGATTCTACAAAGGCTGAGTGTGGTGAGGAAGCTGCAGAAGGAAAGTTGGAAGCTAGCAGAGGTTGGTGCATGAGGTTTAAGGACAGGACATTAAAGTGCAAGGTGAAGCAGCAAGTGCTGATGTAGAAGCTGCAGCAACTTATCCAGATCTAGCTCAGATAAACCATTAAACCAAACAATAGTTTTTCAATTAAGACATAACCGTCTTCTATTGGAAGCTGTTGCCGTCTGGGATATTCATAGCTAGAGAGGAGAAGTCAATGCCAGAGTCAAAGCTTCAAAGGACGGATTGTCTTATTAGTGTCAAATGCAGCTGGTGACTTTGAGTTACAGCCATTGCTCATGGAACATTCTGAAAATCCCTGGGCCCTTAGGAATTATGCCCAGCCTACTCTGTGGTCAAACCATGGAACAACAGAGCATATCCGTTTACATGATTTATGAGTATTTTAAGCTCACTGAATATTTGATATTTGAGACCTACTGTTCAGAAAAAAGATTCCTTTCAAAATCTTACTGCTCTTGACAATGCACCTGGTCACCCAAGAGCTCTGATGGGATGTACAACAAGATGAATGTTGTTTCAATCAGAATGCTGACACAACAGCCATTCTGCAGCCGGTGGATCAAGGAGTAATGTTGACCTTCAAGTCTCATTTAAGAAACGCATTCTGAGGGCAGGCCCCAGTGGCTCAGTGGTTTAGCGCCGCCTATGGCTGGGGACGTGGTCCTGGGGACCGGGGATGGAGTCCCATATCGGGCTCCCTGTATGGAGCCTGCTTCTCCCTCTGCCTGTGTCTCTACCTCTCTCTCTCCTCTCTGTGTTTTCTCATGAATAAATAAATAAAATCTTTAAAAAAAAAAAAAGAAAAAGAAACCCATTTTGTTAGGCTGCAGCTGCCATAGATAGTGATTCCGCTGATGGATCTGGGCAAAGTCAACGGAAAACCTCTAGATAGGGTTCACCACTCTAGATGCCATTAGTAATATTTGTGATTCATGAAAAGAAGTCAAATATCCACATTAATAAGAGTTTAGAAGAATCTGATTTTGACCCTTATGGTTGATTTTTGGGGAGAGACTTCGGTGGTGGAGATAACTGCAGATTGGTAGGAAAGCAAGAGAACAAGAATTAGAAGTGGGGCCTGAAGATGGGACTGACTTGCTACAATCTCATGATAAAACTGTAACTGTTGGGGGGATCCCTGGGTGGCCCAGAGGTTTAGCGCTTGCCTTTGGCCCAGGACGTGATCCTGGAGACCCGGGATCCAGTCCTGCATCGGGCTCCTTACATGGAGCCTGCTTCTCTCTCTGCCTCTCTCTCTCTCTATGTGTGTCTCTCATGAATAAATAAATAAAATCTTAAAAAAAAAAAACTAACTGTTGAAGAGTTGCTTCCTGAGAAGAAAAGAAAAAGATTTTCTTGAGATGGAATCTGCTGCTGGTACAGAGGCTGTGAAGATGGTTGAAGTGACAAAAGAAGATTTAGAATATCACATAAAACTAGGAGATAAAGCAGAAGCAGAGTTTGAGAGGATTGACTCCAATTTTGAAAAGTTCACCGTGAGGCAAATGCTATCACACAGCATCGCATGCTATTCCGAAATCGTTTGTGGAAAGAAGTTGATGGATGCAGCAAATGTCATTGTTGTGCCACCCCAGCCTTCAGCAGCCACCATCTGGTCAGTCAGCAGCCATCAACATTGAGACACGACCCTCCACCAGCAAAAAGATTATGACTTACAGGAAGCTCAAAAGTTGAGCATTTTTTTATTTTTTTTATTTTTAGCAAGAAAGTATTTTTAAATTAAGATATCTGCAGAGCTTTTTTTTTCTAACATAGTGCTATTGTATACTTAATAAACTACAGTATAGTGGAAACATAACCTTTGTATACACAGGGCAACCAAAACATTGATTCAACTCACTTTATTGCAATATTTGCTTTATTGTGACGGTCTGGAACCGAACCTGCAATATCTCTGATGTATGCTTGCCTTTTGACTTACGATATTTCAACTCTGGATGGGTGTATTGGGATATGACCCATGGCGGGCCAAGGAATATCTGTAATGATTCAGGAAATGTTAAGTGTAAAAATCAAGTTATGACACTATGTTTACAGGATGATCTTTTTAGAAAAGATTTTATTCATTCATTTGACAGAGCGAGAGCAAGCACAAGCAAGGGGGAGCAGCAGGCAGAGGGAAAGGGAGAAGCAGGCTCCCCACAGAGCAGGGAGCCCAATGCAGGGCTTGATCCCAGGACTCTGGGACCATGACCTGAGCCGAAGGTGGATGCTTTACTGACTGAGCCACCCAGGTGCCCCTACAGTATGATGTTTTTTTTTTTTTTTTAAAAGTTACTATATAAATATTGGATAGCTATATGCAATGATATTAGCAGTCAGTGGTATATCTGTAAAAGGTGTGTGATTCTGGCACAATTTAAGCTTTCTGTTTATCTGCGGTTTTGGTATTTTATAGAATGAATATATGTCACTTTTATTTTAGGAATACAAAGGCTATCATAGAACATAATCTGCTGTCCTCTGAATTATTAACCTCTCTGTTATTTGTGTAAATTTTGTTGAGCATGTACCTGTTACTGTTCTAGTCTTTGGGGACTGCCATGAACAAGCCGGACGAGGTCTTCCCTGGAGGCTTTGGAGAGGGTATGGTCCTGCCAACATCTTGATTTTGGACTTCTAGCCTCCAGAACTCTCAGAGAATAAATTTTTGTCGTTTTAAGTCACCCAGATTGTGATAATTTGTTATAATAATTCTGGGGCACGAATATAACCCCTTTATTCTTTGAATCTTATTAACCAATGATGTCGATTTCCATTTTAGAAATAGGCAGGCTAATTGTCTCCCAGTTTGCAGGTGGGGAAGCAGATTCTGTGAAGATCTGTAGCTTATCCCAGACTCCACAGAACATGGCTTCTGTAGCAGAGCCAGGACTCAAACCCTGGTCTCTCTCCCCCCATATTTAGGCTCTCCCCATTGTAACCAGTTTAGAAACCTGGGTTTCTATCAGCTTCTTTTTTAAAAAAGTTTTTATTTAAATTCCAGTTAACACACAGTGTAGTTTCAGGTGTACAATATAGTGATTCATACACCTAGTGCTTGTCACAAGAAGTGACCTCCTCAATCCCCATCACCTATGTAATCCATCTCTGCCCCCCCAATCTCCCCACTAGTAACATCTCACCTCCCCACTAATAACTATCAGTTTGTTCTCTGCAGTTAAGAGTCTGTTACTTGGTTTGCCTCTCTTATTTTTTCCCTTATGTTTGTTTTGTTTCTTAAATTCTACATGAGTAAAATCATACAGTATTTGTCCAGAAGTTTCTTTCTTTTTATTTTTTATTTTAAAAAAATTTTTTTAAAGATTTTATTTATTTATTCATGAGAGACACACAGAGAGAGACGCAGGCAGAGGGAGAAGCAGGCTCCATGCTGGGAGCCCAATGTGGGACTCGATCCTGGGTCTCCAGGATCAGGCCCTGGGCTGAAGGCAGCATCAAACTGCCGAGCCACCCGGGCTGCCCTGTCCAGAAGTTTCTATTAAATCTCATGCATCTGTTTCTAAGGTCATTGCTATCTTCCCTGCCTGTCACCCTGCAGTGACAAAGCCACCCCAGGGGCTGTCTCCTTGGCAGGAGCCCCTTTCCATGGCTAACAAGGAGAAAAGTGTCCTTGCATTAGGCCTGGCCCTGTTGTAAGACCAATGAGTCCCATCTGGCTGAATGGACTTGGGCAGCTGTTTCCAGGTGTGCTCACCGCCATTTCTGTCTGCAGCAGCTGATAGGCCCTCTGTATCATTGTACCGAAGTCAGGGTGTACCCCTCGCTCAAGAAACCACAGCCTCTCCTCTGATAAGGAGAGATGCCTGCCATTGCTTTCTTTCCTTTCTTTAAATGATTTTTTCCCCTGATTTTAAGATGGATACACTCTTTTTGAAAAAAAAAAAAAAGTCAGGGAAGATAAAGGACAAAGAAAACAAAATTTACTTATATATCACCAACTGTTTACTCTTTGTAAATGTGCAAAAGGAAAAAAAAAACTATATACATCTGGTTATGTTGCAGGTATAGATACATTCACAGAACAAATTCAACTGTGTTTAAAAATAACATATATGGGGGCACCTGGGTGGCTTACCCCGTCAAACATCTGCCGTCAGCTCAGCTCATGATCCTGGAGCCCTCTGATCGAGTCTGGTACCTGGCTCCTTGCTCAGTGGTGACTCTGCTTCTCCCTCTTCTCCTCCCCTGCTCATGCATGCGCTCTCTCTCTGTCTTGCTCTATCTCTCTCTCAAATAAATGAAATCTTTAAAAAAAATAAAAAATAACATACACAGACTCTTTGCTCATGGAGAAATCGAGCCATCTATTTCCATCGAGTACAGGACAACTTTTGTACTTGATCCTAAGCATCTCCACAGGTTGTCAAAAATTCTTTGTCAAAACCATTCTCAATGGCTGCAGGCTAGTCTGTCAGGTGGATCACCCTTATTAATCATTTATTATCTGTTACTAAGCATTCAGGTTGCTTCTAGCTTTTCATTAACTTAAGAAAAAACAGTTATGAGCATACTTGATATGTCTTTGTGTACCTTTCTGGTTATTCCCTTGACATGAACTTACTGGGCCCAAGGTTATGGACGTAACTATTTTATAGCTTTGTTGAGCTATGATTTACACCACATGAAACCCACCCACTGTAAGTGTATAATTCAGTAATTTTTAGCAAATGTATATGATCATGCAACCATTCCTATGGTTCAGTTTTAGAACATATTTATCACCCCAGGACATTTCCTCCCATTTCTTTGCTGTCAAACTCCCATTCCAGCCCCAGATAAGACTGATTTATCTCTATAAATTTGCCTTTTCCTGACATTTCATATAAACAGAATCACACAATATATATTCTGTTTTGTGTGGTTTCTTTCACTTAGCATACTGTTTTTGTAGTCCATGGATGTAGCATGAATCGGGACTTAGTTCTTTTTTGTTGCTGAAGAGTCAGGTATGGATGTACCGTGTTGTGTTTACCCATTCACCTATCCATGGAAATTCGGACTGTTTGCAGTTCTTGCTATGAATATTTGCCTACAAGTCTCTGTATGGACATGTTTTCATTTCTTTTGGGTAGATACCTAGAAGTGGGTCATATGGCAAGTTTATATTTAATTTTTTAAGAAACTGCCATACTGGGATGCCTGGGTGGATCAGCAGTTGAGCATCTGTCTTTGGCTCATGGCAGGATCCCAGATCTGGGGATCGAGTCCCATATCGGGCTGCCTGCATGGAACCTGCTTCTCCCTCTGCCTGTGTCTCTGCCTCTTTCTGTGTCTCTCATGAATAAATAAATAAAATCTTACAAAAAAACAAAAAAGAAAGTTGCCATACTGTTTCTAAAGCAGCTGCCACATGTTACATTCCCATCAGTAATGTTTGAAGGTTACACTTTTCTCACATCCTTGTCAACACTTGACATTCCAATTATATAGCCCTTCTAATAGGTGTGTATTGGTATCTATCTCTCTGTGGTTTGAATTCACATTTTCCTAATGACTAATGATGTTGGGCATCTTTTCAGGTGCCTATCAGTCATTTGTGTGTCTCTTCTTTGGAGAAATGTCTAGTCAAATCTGCTGCTCGTTTCTAAATTGGGTTATGTGTCCTCTTATTCTTTATATATTCTAGTAACGTGTCTTTTATCTAATACATGATTTGCAAATCTTTTCTCCCGGTCTGGGACTTGTCTTTCCTGTTTCTTTAATGATGCTTGTTGAAGAACAGGAGTTTCTAATTCTGATAAAGTCCAATTTATTTTGGGGTGGTGATGGTGGTTATCCATTTTGGTAACTCAGAAAGCTTTGCCTAACATAAGGTCACAAAGATTTTCTCCTATGTTTTCCTCTAGAAGATTTTTTGAATATAATTGGAAAGTTAGTTTTGTTTTTTCATTTAAAAAAATTTTTTTTTTGTTGGAGTTCAATTTGCCAACATATAGCATAACACCCAGTGCTCATCCCGCCAAGTGTCCCCCTCATTGCCCATCACCCAGTCACCCCAACCCCCTGCCCACTTCCCCTTCCACTACCCCTAGTTCATTTTCCAGAGTTAGGTGTCTCTCATGTTTTGTCACCTTCACTGATATTTTCACTCATTTTCTCTCCTTTTCCTTTATTCCCTTTCACTAATTTTTATATTCCCCAAATGAATGAGACCATATAATGTTTGTCCTTTTCAGATTGACTTACTTCACTCAGCATAATACCCTCCAGGTCCCTCCATTTCGAAGCAAATGGTGGGTATTTGTCGTTTCTAATGGCTGAGTAATATTCCATTGTATACATAGACCACAGCTTCTTTATCCATTCATGTTTTTTTCATTTTGAATATAGCCTGTGGTAATATAAAAAATCAGAAAATATAGATAAGCAAATGGAAAAAATATCACTCATAATTCCACTGCTCAGAGATAAAGCACTATTAATGTTTTGTTACATAAGTGTGTATTGGTTATCTATTGCTGCATAACAAGTTATCCCCAAAACATAATAGCTTAAAACTAGCCCACATTTATTATCTCGAAGTTTCTGTGGATCAGGAATCTGGGAGTATTTTTCTGGGTGCCTTTGTCTCAGGATTACTGATGAGACTGGGCAGCCCAAGGTGGCTCAGCAGTTTAGCACAATCTTCAGCCCAGGGCCTGATCCTGGAGACGTGGATCGAGTCCCATGTCAGGCTCCCTGCGTGGAGCCTGCTTCTGCCTCTGCCTGTGTCTCTGCTTCTCTCTCTCTCTCTCTCTCATGAATAAATAAATAAAATCTTAAAAAAAAATCACTGACGAGACTGTGGTCAAGCTGTCAGTGGGCAGTAGTCATGTCAAGGCCCAGCTGGGAGAGAATGCATTTTCAAGCTCACCCATGTGACTGTTGTCAGGCCTCAAGTCCTCACTGGCTCCTGGTTGAGGACATCAATTCCTTACCCTCTGGTTTTCTCCTAAGGGTGACTGGCAGCCGGCTCCCCAAAGGGCAAGAGAAAGACAGCAGGTGCTCAAATGGAAGTCACAGTCTTTATGTAACCCAGAAGTGACATTCCATTATTTTGCACCATGTTCTTTTCATAGAGACGAATCACTAGGTCCAGCTCCCTTTAGAAGAGAGGGGATTGCACAAAAGCATAAGTATCAGGAGGTGAGGATGTCTTGGAAGGTTGCCACATGCCCTTGTTCGTTTTATCTGTCTTTTCTTTCATTTTCTATTAATTAATTAATTAATTAATTAATTAATTTATCTTTCATTTTATTTATTCATGAGAGACACACGGAGACACAGGCAGAGGGAGAAGCAGGCTCCATGCAGGGAGCCCGATGTGGGACTCTCCTGGGACTCCGGGATCAGGCCTTGGGCCAAAGGCAGGCGCCAAACCGCTGAGCCACCCAGGCGTCCCTCGTTTTGTTTCCCTAACGAAGTAGTTAGTGAATCTTTACCTCTGGAACATGCGGACGGAGGAGCTCCTTTCTAGATTCTAGACTCTCTTGGGTTGGAACCTCCGTGGGTGGGAACTGCCGCTCTCTTTCTCCATAAGGCTATCTTTTAAAAACTCCACAGGTCATCCAAATGGGAGCCAGGTTGGAAGATCACTGACAAATTTAAACGTAAGTGGATGTGTCCCCATATGGATTACAACTGTGCATGTTGCTTAGAGCTACGCTTTTCTCCTCGAAGGGTCTGGAATACAAATGTAGCCTCAGTTCCCAGTGTGGGCCCACCGCCTCCGTTCCTCTCCTCCCCAGGGAGGGGGGGTTGAGGGTAACTCTGTAGGCAGGGCCCCAGCAACCTGACCTGGTAGTCATGACCTTCACTCCTGGGGGCTTCGGAAGAGCCAAGCAGGTGGCAGAGGCTGCCGGCCCCTGCCTTTGGCTCTGGGGCAGCTCCAGCATCAATCCATCAGCCCAGAGGACGCTTCTAGATGCGAGTCTGCTGGTGTGGGGACACGATGAGAACAGGACTCCCTGGCTGTGAAATTGCTGGCATTTCATGATGTGAGAGAAGATTTACAAGCTCCATGCTGTGCTGGCTCTAAATCCCGCCCACAATTATGCAATCAAGCCTGCAGAATGTGAGGAGGTGGCAGGTAGGGGGAGGGGAAGCTGTCACCCCACTGTGCCTGGGACCCCTGGCTCCAGCCACGCACCGGGTCCATGGAGGGGGGGTTGGTTCAGATTCCTTCAGGCAGATCTGCCTTCTGGGGAGGAGTCACACATAGTTATTAGGGACCAAACAGGCATGTAGTATGTGTGAGGTCAGGGGCTGAGAGTGGCGCCTCCCTTCCCTGGTGCTCCTTTAACCCTTTCCCTGCCAAGAGGCCATTCTGCTTTGGCTTAATACTCACCTCCACCACCCAGTCCAAAGGAGATACCTGGCACACACTCTTCCATAACCTTTTTTTTTTTTTTTTTTGCATAATCCTATCTCTACTGAATATATATTTTAGGCTTTTTACTTTTTTAGTTTTTTTAAGATTTGTTTTCCCCACTAAAACATAAGCTCCCTGACAGCAGGAACTTTGTCTGTCTGACAGTCCAATTATTGCTGGGCTTTAATACCTGTGTGTTGACGGAGTAAATGAGCGAATGGATACTTAGATACTTCTAAGGGTGGGGAACTCACTACCTTACTTGACTGTTGGCTCTTCCTCAGCTTGCTGCCGTCTACCTCCATGTGGCCTTCCGTCACTGTCCTCACTTGTAGGGCTCCTCTAGATGAGCCCACTCCTCTCCCCCGTTGGAACTATCTAGAGGTTTGAAAATAGTGGCCACCCACCTGCTTTCTGAGGTGAATGTTACCATTTCCTTTGGCTGTCCCTCACACGTCAGCCTCCTCTGATAGGCTCTAGCAGTCTACTATCCCTCAGTAAGTTAGGTTAACTTGGCAGTTTGCAGATTTTGAGGCTTTCCTCCCCCAACAAACATTTAGATCACGTCTTAATGCTCCAAGTTTTTAGGTAGAAAAACAGGGAGTGGGTTTAACTGAGCCTTCATGCTTTTAACCAGTCCTCATTCTGCTTCTTTGCCCAAATTTGTCAGCGAACAGCAGCCAAAAGTAGGGGCCCTTGGATTTGGGGGTGGCAAATGGCTCTACTGAGTTTGTCATCCCATGACCCCTAGGACCAGGGTGAAGGGTAGGGCACTGAAGGCAGTGTAGACTGGGTGGTCCTACCCACCAGAGGAGAAGGGGAAGCAGCCCTCGGTCCTTCAAGGGCAGTGCTCATGGGGGGAGGGATGGGGAATTGAGGGGCTCAGGCCCCTAGGGAATGCTGCCACAGTCTCAGGTGGATAGCTATAGCCTTTGAAAATGGACATACAATTTTCTTACTATTCTCATAATTTAATTGACAAGTCAAAGTTCAACACAGGCTTCTTACCTGGTGGGCAGACAAAGCGAGGTGCGCAGGTGTCATCAGGAAGCTGGCTGGGACTCTGCCCCCACTTGTTAGCTGTCTGCCAGCTTGGGGCCGACTCACCACATCCATGTCCAGTGTGATAGGCCCACCCTGACCGCCGTCCTCCCACTGGTGGCCGTGGCCCTTCCCGTCCCAGGTTCAGGTCCTCCCGTGTGTACAACAGAATGATCGCCCCTCTGACCCTTGGTGGGGTGCTCTGGGGAGCCCGGCAGGAAACCACCTGGAGACGCTTGAGAAACCAGCAGGTGCCCTGGGAGGGGAAGGGCTGGGGGCTGCCTTGAGGCATCTGGCCCCCATCAGCCCCTGCTCTGGCCTGGGCCTCACCTTGTCCCTGATTCCTCCAGATAGGTCTGAGGCCTGAGCAGAGGGGCATTTGGGTGAAGTATACAAAACTTCTGGGTGATGAGGAGCGGAGGGAAGCACAGATCACTTGGATCTACCACTTGATCATTTCATTCATCCACGTGTCTCCACTCAGCCATGCAGTTCCCACGTGTTCAGGTCCACCGCAGCCAGGGCCGGTGCTGGCTGCCTCTCTCACCCTTCCCCTTCCAGCAGCCCCATTTCCTTCTCTAAGGGATTTAAGGATATTTCTAAATAAAACATTCAGCAATAAAAACAAAGGACTTAGAAAAAGCCAACTGTGTATACATGCTACTTAGTTTTAAAATTTTTAAGTGATAAAGTACCAGAGTTAGAGTTTTGTAGACAATTCCACATTCTTCTCCATCTCCAGTCTAATGAAGTGCCCCCAAGTCATTTCTCATTGCAAGTGTATGTATGCACTTCCTTGTCACTCTGAAAGTCATCATGGCTTGACATATTTCATAGGGAGGAGAGGGGTTTGGGCAACAATTTCATTAAAGAGAAGAACTCAAGGGGTTCAACATCCCCGGAACCCTGGTTGGGCTGCTGGGGACTCAGGTAACTGTCAACATCACTTAGAAAGAGAAGGTGACTAATGATCTCACGCTTGCACAAAACAAACACACAACAAACAGAAACGTAGTGGGCTGGTTGTTTGGGGCTTTTGAACCACGTCTGCTGTCTCAAGGAAAAGAGGAGCCCCCTTCTGGGTAAGTGGGGTGTCTGTTCTGGCAGGTGAGCCACTAGATGTGAGCCCTTTCTACCACCAGTCCACTCCCCGACATCCGGAGCTCCCACCGCTCACCTGGCCCACAGGTAAGGTGAATACAGGTGTCATCTGGGAGCTGCCGACCGCTACTGCTGCTGTTAACTGGTGCCCATAATCAGTGCATCAGAGATCTGATGAATACGCTGGGGGATCATAGTCCACCAGTTTACCTGCTCTTACTAGTTTCTGAATTCGGATTTAGGAGCAAACCTGTTGGTGCCTCAGTCTCCCCACTTCTGATGCGGGCCGGTACAGGGTAATGAACCGGGGGACGCTCATAGCAGCCGGTGTTGTGTACACAATGAGCGGTTCAGAGTGTTCTGAGGGCCCTCTCGCTGTTCCAGCAGGTCTGTGCCACTGAGCCCGTGAAATCCGAGGCCCAAGAGGTAAGGAAGATGGGAGCACCTTGTGCCCGCTGCCCTGGGGCCAGGGGCGAGTACCACCTGTGCACACCGTGTACCCTGGCTTTGCAGCTCCCCGTTTTGCTCACTGCCAGCCGAGGTCAGCGTTTTGTGCCCCTGGTTACATTTATAGCTTTAATTGTGGCACTGAGGGCCATAATGCCTCCCGCTTCTGGTCTATTTTAGTCAGAGACTTTGAAACAAGAAAAAAGGGATTCGACAGTTGTGGTGTGCAGCTGGAGCCCTCCGGCAGGTGTCTGAGCACACGGACCCAGCTCCCCTTGGATGCCATCTGCCGCGAATGGTTGTGCGCTCCTGGGGCTGACTTTCTAATCTTGCTAAGACACCATCCCCCCACCTCTAAATTGGGGTTTAAAAGGACCCACCACACAGGGTTGTTGTTCACCTGAACTGTATGTAAAGGGCAGGGCACAGAATTTGTGCTTGGTCAGTGAGTGTCCTTCCCCACCCCCAGCAGGTCCTTCCTGGTGTGGGCAGCCCAGGCCAGTCTGCGACAAGTTGCCTTCTCCTGCAATCCTGGGTGCCACAGTGGGGCCACATGTTGGCTGGGCTTCCAGAACCTTCCATGTCTTTTCGTGCCAGAGGAAACAGGGGGTCCTTGGAACTCACCTTTCCCCCATTCCTGATGAGGCCACAGAACCAATTTCCTATAGTGTATCTCAGGTAAGATACTGACTATAGAAGTAACTGCTCTGAGGTTGCAGGTTCTCCCCCTTGCAATGTTTGCGTACATCAGGGCTAGGGGCCCCAGGGTCTGTTCGCTGATAAGCAATTGCAGGAACCCTCAGCTTTCATTCTGGCCAGCCACATGGTCATCTAGATGTGGGTCTCTTTGGACATATGCCCAGATGGACCATTCTGGAAATTTCGTCACATGTTTCCAAGATAGCAGGCTCTTATTGACCACCCCTTTCCCTGGCTCCCTATCATGTGTGTGCATGCACTGCCCCCGCCCCCCCCCCCAACACACACACATTCCCTTGCTTCTCAGCCCATGAAATTCCTAGCTCCAGTTGTTTGATCACTGGGCTCCTGTTCATGTTTGCCTGGTTTTGGTTTTATTGGTCCTGCAGGGTTTTGGGTAAATTGTCTTTTCTCCTTTTGAAAGTAAACAACATATAAATGAATCAATGTAGAAGTTCCCCAAAACATTAACTCCTGTTTCCAAGTTAACTAGCTTCTGTGCCAGTCTCAGAACCAAGCTTTTCTGGTGATCTCCATTTATTGAAGAGTTTGTGCAGATTACACTAGGTTAAAGTATACTCGTTACCATTTGCAGTCATGGGTTTTAATCAGGATTCCTCAATGTTGTGCAGTCCATACAAAACAGAAATAAGTCCAATTTCTTTCTGTAGCTGAGAGGCATAATCTCTGGTTTTGTTTTGTTGTTATCGTTGTTTATTAAGTAACCTTCTTGTTCATATAGAGTCTATGTCATAGATCAATTTATTTTAAGAAGTAAATGTTATATTATTTACTTATAAAATTTATGAAATACATTTATACAGATTCGTTTAAAGTACATTTCGGTGCTTGTATATTGCCAGCGTAGGCAAATGCTGTTACAAACAAGCTTCAACGTCAATGTCTTAATTTATGTGAGAATACATTGTGGGTCAGCCGGGATACTGTGCCACTGTCACTCGGGGACCCTGACTTCTTCCCCCCTGTGGCTCCATCTTCCTCTGGGTCTTTGGGTTCCTCTTCACTTTAGCTCATGGATGAGAAAAGTAGGAGCCTGTTGGGGGTTCTGTGTCCAAGCCTGTAAGAGGGTTCATACACGGTAGGCCTGCAGTTGTGCCCATCACTTTATCACTTCTGTTTACACCCCACTGGCCAGAACTCAACTGCATGGTCATCACACCTGAATACAAGGAAAGGATGTGTGTATCTAGTAAGAATGAAAGATGAATAATTGGTGAGGAGAGGCAGTTTCTGCTATAAATATATAACCTCACCCAAGCTTGAGCTCCATCAAAGAGCTCTTGGTAGGCG